TTTAAATCAATGTATTAATTTTTTAGAGGATGCTTTTTCTAAATCTCTTCCTCTTTTACCTCTGCCCTCCTCAGATCCCTTCCTTCTACCCAGTCATGTCTTCTTTTATATTACGAACCCTCTTTATATTTCTATATACAACCTTACAATTGAATATTACTTTTCTGCCCCTTCCATTAATAACCAAGAATTTCTATTACCTATCAGGTACTCTTCTAAGCACTCCATGCACATTATCTAATTTACTCCTTGGCTCTTACCTGTAGCTGTTATTATTTTCCTCATTTTATGTATATGGATATGGAGGAGTTAAGGTGCTCAAGGCTATGAAACTAATCAGTGAAAGAGCTGACATATCAGCTCATGTGTCTAACACATGAAACTCTATAGGTTCCATCAAAAAACTACTCGAACTAATTAACAAGTGAATTCAGTAAAGTAGCAGTATACAAAATCAATATTCTGAAATCGATGTCATTTTTTTACACCAGTGAACTATAAGAAAGAGAATCTAAGAAGAAAAAAAACCACTTACTATAGCAACAAGAAAAATAAAGTACCTAGGAATATATTTAACCAAGGAAGTAAAAGACCTATACTCAGAAAACTATAGAAAACCAAAAAAGAAGTTGAGGAAAATACAAATAAATGGAAACATATACCCTGTTCATGGATTGGAAGAAATAACATCATTAAAATGTTCATACTACTCAAAGCAATCTACAGATTCAACACAATTCCTATTAAAATATAAATGGCATGAACAACTCTTACTTGATACTGTTCTTTCCTACTTATATGCATTTTCTCCACACTACAGAGGAGTTTTATCTTTCTTGTTTGTCTTGAAAGGCAAGAGGTTTTTCTCCCAGTAACTTACATTAGCTCTTCATACATATGAGTCCCTATGACAATGAATAAAATGAAACCCACAGGCCTAAATGAAATGATACTCATGCTCAGAGTATCATTGCATTACAATATAATAATTATTCATCATTGTGATTGTGATAATTAATGAAAGGATAAAATATGTTGAATATATTCTACCTCTGATAGATAGAGTAGTGTGTAATACCATTGAAGTACTCTCTACGGTTTAAGATACTAGGGTTTAAAAAGAGCAAATCGTCTGCTAGTTTGAAAACATGCTATTTAGTAAGAAATCTCTCATATAGACAGATGATCAAAAGTAACTTATGCCCTTTAAGTTCTAGATGGTAGTTTTCTTATATTCAGCTAACATAACCTAGGTATCAGCTATACCATTCTTGCCTCTTGTCACTCCTTGTTGAAATAGTAAAAAAATATGGTGCCTCTTGCATTGCTTGATTTAAAACTGAAACACATTTCCAATAGGTTGGAAAGCCTCCGTCAGCTGATGGTTGAAGATTAATGTCACAATTAGTATGTGGATGTTTGATATGCCAGCCTCCTGGGGTTGGAACACTGGTAAACTGCTATGTGCTCAGATGGGCTTTTTGTTCTCATAGCTCATAAAAATAACATAAACAGATACCTGCCAAGCTGGAATGGGGTTGGATGATAGGCCTTTCATAGAGTAAAATTTGGTTGAGCATAAAAAGGAATAGACTTTTAAAGTAAAAATATTGTTTTCAGCGCGTAAATATCACAACAAATTTTATAGACTATTATATGACCGCCAGAAAGTCAAATTGTGTACATTCACCATTCTCACTGTGTGTTTAATAGATTGCAAGCTGGTTGTAATCTGGTCTGGTCATTTTTATGCATCAGAAAAAATTTGCCTCTTGAAATCTCTTTAAAAATTGAAACTGATGCTAGTTATAATTTTACAATTGAAACATAACTGAGGGATGGCACAGACTGAATCCATGAACAGTAGACATTTATTGAAACTTTCCTACAAGTTTTTATTCAATTTTTCATTTAAGAGTTTCCATGAATTATATTTTAAAAATTAAAACTCAAAAATGATTGGACTTGAATTTTTTAGTTCAAGGACTAAGTAATTAAGGTTTAATTAGTTCAAAAAACACTTTTTAAACTATATTTAGTGAAGGTGTTTTAGTTCTTCATAAAGAATGAGATACTTCACAGCAAAAAGACAAAACTTAGCATGTAGAATCAATAGAACTTGTTGAGTAATTTAAGATAGGAAACAGATGATAAAAGAAGAGTAAAACCTAAGTCTGGATTGAAGAACTGAGAGAGATCTCGGGAGATGGCATAGACTTGGTGAGTTTAAGTTTAATTAAGCTCATTAAATCATGCATTGAACTTTTAAAATGTTGAGTTCATTTGTCTGTATATGTCTCAAGATGCTATATCTATCTATCTATCTATCTATCTATCTAATCATCTGTCATCTATCTATCTATCTATCTATCTATCTATCTATCTATCTATCATCATCTATCTATCTGTTGAGAAAGAGAGAGATTGTACCAATGAATAATGTATTGGCAGCTGCTATTAGAGCAAAATGTCACAGCACTCATTTTCCTCTTGATTTTGTGGGGTGGTGATTGTGAAAAAAGTTGTAATAAACATAATAATGGAATGGTTAATGTTACAGCAGAGTGAAATTTTACTTTGGTTTACTGAAAAAGATACATATTAATAAGCAGCCAATTGATTACTCTTCACAAAACAGTAATTAGGCATCAAATTATTTTTCTTCTGCCTGTCACTGCAAGAGAATTGAGATTTCAGGCACAATACAGATTAATGAAAAACATGCTTTACAAAATTAATGGTGGCTTAGATTTAAACAGCAGTTTCAAAATAGCAAAAAAAAATAGAGGATGAGAAAAGACTAGATGACTACATAACACAAAACAAATTTGGAGATGTTTCAATAGCTTTGTTATTCACAGATTTGACTAAAATAGTGGCTATTATGATTATCAGGTCATTTACTACTGAAATAGAAGCACAAAATGAACTATGGTTCTTAATAGGATTTTGATATGTTTTAATTAAAGTTATTGGTAATCCAAATTTATTACTTTTGCAACATTTGAGTAGTAAAACGTACGATGTAAGTGTGCCCCCATGTGGCTATAGACAAGTTTGTAAGAATGTGAGGAAAGACCTGAATGGAAAGAGAGCCTTAACTGCTTCTGTTGAGTGCTTACTCCATTGCAGGCAGAGGGCTGTCTCTCCTATTTTTAAAGTTAGAAGATTCATGATATCTCTTATAGTTCTTACAAATATTTTATTTTTAGTAGCTATATATATTAATCAACACATCTGCCTTTGAGTAGTAGTGTAACAGTAAAAACACATAAATCAACACAAAATGCTTACTTTCCCTGTATACGTAAAGGTCAAGCCTACGTGATTCTCTGCAAGTATTTTAAAATGCATTTTCTCATTAAATAGGATAATAGATCAAGGAAAAAAATTTTAGCAGGGTGGTTCCATGGCCTGAGAAGGCAGTCTACCTGTTTGTGTGCTGTATATAAAAACTACTCATATTTTTAATAAATTCTGTCAATAAAGAAGATATTGGATATCTGTAATGTATATTGTAGATCTCACAGAATTTGAAAGCCATTTTCACAGAGTGTTTTTTAGAGTTACCAATAATTTTATTTTGACACAACCGTATTACCTAGTTAATACTCTTCATTTAACTCTCTAGTCCCTAGTCCCATGATATAAAGACTTGTTATCTATTGACCAGCTCATGCTTCTGGAAAAACTCTGCAAGGAATAGTTGTTGATGAGCCCATTGGATGTAAGCCTGCACCAGATCCTTTAAGTAGGGTAGTGTATTGTGTCTACAACTGGACAAATCTTAGAAATGAATGAGTTGGGAGTGTTAAAAATCTAAGTTAAGTAAGATTCAGGAACATTCTGGATCAGGAAAAGAAATCCCAAATAGCAGAAGAGGAAAATATCAGTATAATGACATTTGAACTTTAAATGGCAGAGGCTAAGACTGCTTTTTTTGATAGTATAAAAGCAAAACCCCTAACTGTACAGTTAAAACATTGAATTTTTAATTGAAACAGATGTTTTAGTTTTAGGCAACTTTAACATTGCTAGTCTCAGTGTGAGCTTCTTTCCGTTAAAGCATAGCTTCCGTATTTTCCATTTTTTTTACTCTTTACAAATTAGCTACAAATGCCGTGCACTTACACCAACCATTTTTATTAAAACTTTAAAAATTAAACTCAGAAATAGACTCAAATTTAAATTTAAGGAAGTGTAATATTTAAAGAAATAATATAAACATCTATGTTATATTTTCTCTTAAGCATCTCTGTATTTAATTAAATTTTTTGTTTAGCATAGCAACTATTTTTGATTCTGAAGAAAAGTTTTTTATTTTCAGTCACAAGATTGGTATATATGTATGTCTTTTTTTGTTTGTTTTAATAATCTAAACTTACCTCTAATTTTAGTTTGGTCATTTAACATATTTTTAAAAGTTCTTAGATAACAATAGTTCATAAATAAATATTGGTACCTGTCATTTTTTTGTGCAGATTGTAATGAATTGTGTATTTTTAAAAGACAAATTGAACCATTTTGTACCCCACTCTTTATACCTATATTACCTAAAAGAGGATGATTCATAATGGTAAGTCAGAGTCAAAACCTAAATAACAATTATGGTAATATTTCAGAAAACATCTTAGTCCTTCCTGGAAAATTATTCTTACACTGAGGAGAAAAAAAATAAGTTAAAGTAGAGTAGATGGGAAAAAAACAACAAAGCACAATGGATGAAAAGATAGCATTTGTAATCTTAAAGTTTCATAGCATTCAATATCTCCTAGCAAAATGTTGAGTTATTCTTATATGGATATTTTTTCTTAGAAAATTTTATTGAGTGCCTGAACTAAATATTTTGTCATGCTTTTTTTGGTCTTTGGTTTCTTTTTTGGGGGGGGGTTGTTTTTTGTTTACTATTTTATTTATTTATTTTTAGAGAGAGGGGAAGGGAAGGAGAAAGAGTGGGAGAGAAACATCAATGTGTGGTTGCCTCTCATGTGTCCCCTACTGGGGACCTGGCCTGCAACCCAGGCATGTGTCCTGACTGGGAATTGAACCAGTGGCCCTTTGCTTCACGGGCCCATGCTCAATCCACTGAGCTATACCAGCCAGGGCCATCCTTGGTATCTTATACCCCTTAATAATTTATATTCAGCCAAAGAATTTCAAAACAGATTTTCTTATCATAACATTTTTTTATTTGACAAATTTATTTATGACTCTTGTGTTTTTGAAGACAAAGCCAGAGTCACTGTAAATCAGATGACAGAGTCGTGACCAGCCTTATGATTTTAGGAAGGATATGTATGACAGAACAATGGAGTAGAAACTGGGCAACTAGGTCAACTTGAGCTACAGATTGGCAAATTGTTTGACTTACGTTTCCTTCATCTCATCTAGAATGTAAAAACCTAATTAGCTTTCTCTTCAGAGTAGTTCTAAATCTCACGCATTGGCCTACTATTCTGACCTATGTCACCTTCTTCTATCGATATAAGTGTTAAGAGTAAAGAATATTGAGAAATGCTTGAAAATTATATGTTATAAATGGTACAGACTTAGAAAAGTCATCTTTTCTGTTCACAAATAATGTGATTTGGATTGTAAGGCACCAAATTAGCTTTTTAAAAGCAGGCTTTGACTATTAGAATATCATGTAATATTTAGAATGGACTATACAGTCCTCATAGAGAAACTCAATCTTTCTCTTCTAAGAACAATCTCCTAATGACTTACTTGTTCTTTCTTCCTACTTCTTATTCACAAAACCAAAGCATAATAATGCTAAGGCATTGAATTATTCTTCTCTCTGGCAGTCTAGAATAGACCCAAATCATCGGTTGTAATAATGTTCCTTGCTGTCCCGGAATAAAATGCAGGAAATGAGTGCCCCATTCAGAGTTCTCATTCATCCTAAACAGCTTTACACTGTGTACTTGACCATACATTGTCTCCTGTTTTCAATCAGCTTGGTGCAAAGAGATAGATTATCAAAATCCTCACTTTTAGGGGTAAATTCGGCACTAATAATATTTTCTAAGGGAAAAAAGCAACATAAAATTGCATGCATTTCTTTTGCATATGTAATTTCCCATCAATAAGTGAACATTTCATTGGCACCTGTCTGAGTAGAATAATGGACAATAAAATATCACATGTATCATCTTTGAATAGTCTGCAGTACAGGCACAATTAAATTATCAACTAAAATAAATGCCTGCCAAAATTTGGCCAGTGAAAATAATGTGGATCGTCTTGTATTTATTATTATTCAATGATTAAAAATAAGCCACAATGCAGAAGTTAATTTCCAAGCACATTCAGTGTCAGTGGTACATACTGATATAGAACTACAAAAACGTTTGAGATTTCAGAGCTGAGATATCAAATACACCCCCTCCTCAGTGTCCTAAAGAAATGGAAACTGACTCAGATATAGGTGACAATACCTTAAAACTTTATGTGAAAACTTTTTGCTTTATAATGCTACTTATATTTCTAGATTATCTAAACACATCACACAGCACCTTTCCTTTTATATCTTGAAAAACATACATGAGCAAGAATAGAAGAAAAAAGATTGATTAGAAAAGTCCACAGTCCTTCAGGTTCTCTTTGATTATTATATCTGTAACTGCATCGAACACAAACTTGACATTTTGAGTGTCTGTAGCGCAGGTCATGTGGGAATAAATTTCCTTATCTTCTTTTCTTAAATTCAGGTCTAGAAACTGGTTCTTGATGTAGTTCCCTGCATCTTCAAATGTATTTGGCCCTTGTGAAAGAGAAAATAAGTAAATATTAGTTGCATTAAAGTAAAATTATAAATATTAATAAGTTTTATAATTTTACTTTGTGTACTTCTATTTGATTAACTCTGTATTTAAATAATTGTTATTAGCAATGGCAATTATCTGGGGTTCCTGCAACACCTACTTTGTGCTTGGAATTATACTTACTCACTGAGGGCTTTCAGTGGCTAAGATTTAACTGCTACATCTAAAAGTTCACAATACACTAGAAGTACTAATATATTTACACAACCAAGTGAGTGAGTAATAAAGTCTAAATATATGTCAAAGGCAATGTGTATATATGTATGTTTGTTTTAATATGAATTAAGTGAAGAAACATAGAAATTGTAGAGTGAACTGCATAATAAGGTAGTGTTTGAGCTGGACCTTGAGGAATAGGTGGAAGAACAAAGAAAATGTTATGTGTGAAACAAAAGTGAGAGTGAGAATGGATGGTACCAGCAGACTTGAAAGTAGGGTTGAGAAGTAAATGTACATTTTAGAGAATCTGGTTGGATAAAAATGAAAGATTTTTATAGAGGGATTGAAGTAAATCAAGAAGAATAGGTGGTATGGACCAAAGTATGGACTATGTTGCTAACTAAACAAAGTAGCTAAAATGAGAAGTGTAAGATTATAGAGAACTACTCTTGACTGATAATTTAGTACAGTTAAATAAAGAGCCAATGAAAGCTGCACTTGAGAACGTTTAGACTAGTAGCAGGACACAAAATGAATCAATTGGGAAAAGGCAGAAACGAAGAGAAAGGCCAACAAACACAGAGCACCTAAAAAGGACCTGCTGATAGGGTTATGAAGGAGTATGCTTCATAGGCACCTAGATTTGTTCCCCACTTTATTGTTACCAGGAAAAAAATTCCATGAGGGACATTCTTTAAAACAATGTCACGTAGTTAAAGTCCAAACACTGACAATACCAAATGCTGGCAACGATGTGAAGCCACAGGAACTCTCATTTACTGCTGGTGGGAATGCAGAATGGTGTGGTTACTTTGAAAGATGGTTTGGCAATTCCTTACAAAGTTAAACATCATTTTATCATACAATCTAGAAACTGTATTGCTTGGCATTGACACAGAAACTTTTGTGCATACAAACCCCCGCATGTGAATGTTTATAGAGTCTTTATCCAAAATTGCCCCAAACTGGAAGCAACCAAGATGTCCTTTAGTAGGTAAAAGGATAAAAATACCAGTTTGTTTATTAAACAAAATATTACTCTGCAATAAAAACAAACAAACAGGCTATCAACCCATGAAAAGCTATGGAGGAAATGTAAATGAATATTGCTTTTAAAACTGAAAAGTGAAAGAAGTTAGAACATGCCACATACTGTTTAATTACAGCTATATGACATTCTGAAAAGGGCAAAACTATAGGAACAGTGAAACGATCAGCGGTTGCCAGAGGTGGGAGGGGAGGGAGCAGCATGAATGGACGGACGGAGCACATGGATTTGTAGGGCCGTGAAAGTACTCTGTGTAACGCTGTGATGGTGGATACTTGGCATGCATTTGGCAAAACCCATAGGTCTGTACAACACAAAGTCTTAACACTAATGCAGACCATTGACTCTAATCAATAATGTGTCATCTGTTCATCAGTTATAACAAATGTACCTCAGCAATGCAAGCTGTTAATAGGGAAAACTGTGGGAGCTGACCAGAAAGGAGGAGTGTGTGGGAACTCTATTTTCTGTTCTAAACTAAAAGCTGCTCTGAGAAATACATTCTAGTAGTGAAAAGAAAGTATTGAGTCTATATTTAATCTTTGTATTCAAGATAGAATTGTATTTAATAACAGGATAAATGTGTGAACATATAATTACTATTAATTTTTTAAAGATTTTATTTATTTATCTTTAGAGGGGAAGGGAAGGGGAAAGGGAGAGAAACATCAATGTGTGGTTGCCTCTAGCACACCCCTCACTGGGAACTGGCCTGCAACCCAGGCATGTGCCCTGACTGGGAATCAAACCGCAATCCTCTGGTTCTCAGGCCTGTACTCAGGCTACTGGGCTACACTATCCAGGGCCTAATTACTATCTATAAATACAGAAGAAAGACATTAGCACTGATTACAGGCTAGTGATATAGCCTGTAACAGAATGCCATACTCCTAATATGGCTCCACCCACTACCTGGGCTACCCATGTATCAGGTGGTGAAATCAGGCTTGTATTTGTGTTTAAATTATAAATATTTTCATTTTCCATAATTTCATTGACAACAGAGCATAAAGTTATAAATAAAAGTTTCCAAAGGGAAAATAACCCTCAATAGAACCTGACATTTGTAATCATTGATTAACAGGATCAACACTAAAACTCTAGGATCTAGGAAAATTGGAGAAAGAGAAGTTGCCACTACTCTCAAATTCATTTATGCTCTCTGTCAGGAAACTGAATTTGGACTTCGAAAAAACCTTTAGATCTAAAGAAACATTACAAGACTTCATTGGGAAACATATTAAAAATTCCAGTTTGCACCCTGACTGGGGTGGCTCAGTTGGTTGAGTGTGTACCTGCAAAGTAAAAAGTGGCTGGTTCGATTCCCAGTGAGGGCACAAGTCTGGATTGTGGGCCAAGTCTCTGGTCAGGGTGCATGTAAGAGGCAACTGGTCAATGTTTCTCTCACTCATGAATGTTGCTTTCCCTCTCCTTCTTCCTCCCTTTCCAACTCTCTAAGAATAAATCAATTTTTAAAAATTTTTTTAAAAATCTAATTTTAAATAAAGCTTACATTCCTACTATAATGTTTGAGATAATAGTTTCCTATGTTGTTTGATACATTATATAGAGTAGCAACCCCATCTGTCTAACTACCTCCCATTTATTCACTAGGGCTTTGCTCTAATGCAGACAATGTAGAGAGGTTTCCTCTTTATAAGATTCTTTCCAGTTAGGATCATTCACATGACTCAAAAATTAGCACAAGTCTCAATCTCATAAATATTACATGTCAAGATCCAGACAGGGATATATAGGTATGTACAAGAATTTACTACTTTGTAATTAAATGAAAAGAATCTTACCAGTGTACTCTGGAAAGCAGATACTAAGATGCACTTTGGTCACTTTTTCTTGAAAGAGATCTTTTTTATTGAGAAACAACACAATGGAGGTGGTTGCAAAGTACTTGTGATTACAGATACTGTTGAACAAGTGAAGGCTCTCATGCATTCTGTTCTGTTCGGTTTAAAAGATGACAATGTGCAGAATTATTATTTGCAAAATGTTATTGTTGGGTATTACAAACGATGATCTAGAAATAACATCTTTGGAAGGCCTTGAGTTGGAAAATGTAGTCATAATATTGGAACAAAATGCTTATCTTTCACGCTGGCCTTATTGTCTTTCTAGACTTACCACTTCTTCGTCTTCCACCAGCACCATGTCGTAGGCACTGAGTGCAGCACAGAATATAATGCACGTGACTCCTTCAAAGCAGTGAATCCATTTCTTTCTCTCAGATCTCTGTCCACCCACATCGAACATTCTTTAAAAAACAAAAATAATACAATTACAAATATTTTCCAGAATCCACATTAAAATTAACATTGGGAGTTATAAATGGATACTTTCGTATCTTTAAAAAGTATTCTTCTGATTTTTATTGATTATAACATGTCTTATTTGGCCGATTTGCAGCTCAAAGTCTAAGAAAAATTTCATTGTATACTTTTTTAATTCATGTAAATGATAGTAAAAAAAACTCACATACTGACTTCGAACACATGGAAAATTTAAGGTAGTTTAGGGTTTTAGTAAGAAATTAATTACCCTTAGGAGATTTTGATTAAAATCCATATATAGTCTTATATTAACATAAGGCACAAGAAGATTGGATGCTATCATAGTCTGGATACTATGATTCTTGGCTATTTCCTTAGCTCTTCCTACATTTGTTTATTCCTTCATTCAGATGATTACTGATCTTGATTATGGATTGGAAGGATTAATATTATTTAAATGGCCATGCTATTGATTCCATGCAATCCCTATCAAAACTCTAACAGTATTTTTCAAAGAAATAGAACAAGCAATCCTAAAATTTGTATGGAACCACAAAAGACCCAAATAACCAAAGTAATATAGAGGGAGAAGAATAAAGCCAGAGGCATTGTGCTCCCTGATTTCAAACTATACTACAAATCTATATTAATCATAAGAGAAAGCTATTGGCATAAAAACAGAAACATAGACACAATGGAACAGAATAGAGAGCCCAGAAATAGATCCATGCACTACCAGGGTGACCAACCTTTTGGCATCTCTGAGCCACCACGGAAGACAAGTTGTCTTGAACCACACATTAAATACACCAACACTAACAAACACTAATGAAAACAAAAAATCTCACAAGGTTTTAAGTAAATATACAATTTTGTGTTGGAACACATTCATAGCCATCATGGACTGCATGCAGTCCACAGGCCAGACATTGTGCTAGACCTACTGAGACAAAGATGAAAGATACTGTCACTATCACCAAGGAGCCCTCTGTTTTGTAGATGGGAAATCAAATACATTATTATAGTATATTTAACAAATATCCTCATATACAAAATAGAATGTAGGCCTAGAGGAAGATTTAAGTCAGCTTGGGAGATCATGAAATTTACTCATAGGAGGTGTTTGAAAATTTGTACTTTGATAAAGGCACCACTGTGGACCTAGCAATTCAATACAGAAACCAGGAACTGAATTTTTAATGCCTGTCTTTCCCTTAACATCCATATGGAACACATCCAAAATGTGGTTTCTAGTTCAAACACTTCTTTCCAACTCCTTTCCTCTTGTATGTGCTGCCAACACCCTGGCCAGGGCCACTGCAAGAGCATTGCTTTTCAATGGCTTCTTTCCTTTCTTAGAATCAAACACACACTGGTTTAATGACCACAAAGGCTAACTCTGTTAGTTCTTGTTTACCTATCGAAGCTTAGTTCATGCCACTTTCCTTTTCTTAATACAGTTCAATCATAAGGCTACTCTGTCAGCTCCTTTAATATAAACCTAACTTTTTGATATTTTAGGATTTTTGCAGTCTACATACTTTCTGTATGACATCATTTCCTTTTTCCTTGTATAACACTTCTTTCTCAACAGGTGTCAATGTTAATATTTCCACCACAAAGAAGGCTCTCTTTATTCCTCATTTACTTTCTGTGACATCGGTCTCTTTATTTAATTTATAATAATTGTTACAATCAGCCATTATATTTTTATATGTTTAATATCTGTTACACCCCTACTAGGTAGTGGCCTTAAGAGGGCAGGGACCTTGTCTATATTAATGGCAGCTATATCCTCAGTGCCAGGCACTCTGAATGTTGCATAATAGACATGCAATAAACATTTGCTAAATAAATGAGTATATTCCATGTTAATGGTATGGAGGGTGTATTTTTATGTAAAGTTCACATGCAAGTCAAGGACTGAGAGAATATGGGCAGTTTAGGATAAACAAGTAATTTATATTTTGGGAATATAAAGATTAAGGTAACACCATTGAGATACATGACCTCATAATTATTCATTTACTTAACACAGATTTATTGGTCATACCAGGCATTAGAGGTTCAATCTCAGGAAGCTTCTAATTTGGTGGTGGTGGTAGTGGTAGTGGTAAAGGGATGTGTGTGTGTTTATGAGCAGACTTAGGGTACCCATATACAATAGGGCATATAGGAGGTGGGTTGTAATTTGAAATAAGATGATTAGAAATGCAGAAGATGATACTTATGTAAAAGCCTAAGAAAATTCAGTTTGAGGGATTGAGCCACATGGATACCTGGGGAAGAATTTTCTAGGTAGAGAAAACAGGAAGGAGCAGAACAAAGGCTTTAAGCAGGCAAAAATAAGCTTTAGGTGTTAGGCTAGAAATATACTTACAGGGTCTTTTATATTACAGGAGAGGATTGTACTTTATATTGCAGCCAATGGGGGACAAAGAGTTTTGCATAGGGAATTAACTTTTTTTGCCTTTGTTTCTGTTGTTATTATATTTCAGTCACTTTGACTTGAGGCAAATAAATAAATTATGGGACTTTTGTAATAGCTTAATAATAAAGATATTACCAAGAAGCATCCAAGTTTACAGAGATTTCAAAGGTAATAACTATACTTGGAATAATATGTGTCAATCAGCTGACTTACTGATGATGATTGAAAGTATTGTACACTGTATGCCTCTATTATTTCAACCTGCACATGTGAACCAAGTAAAGAACAGATATATAGAACTGAAACTCCTCAAATATATACCCTGTGTACATACAGGGTGGGGAAAAAGGAGGTTTACAAAACACAGAGTTCATTCTTGTATTATTATTTAATAATTATTACATTATTTTTCACATGAACAATTGTAAACCTACTTTTACCCCACTGTGAATGTGGATAGAGAGGTTTATAGGCAGATAGATATACCATAATGTAAAATCACTCCATTCAACAGTAGGTTGAAAGAGAAGATGCTCATTAATATTTAAGAGTTTAATAGTCATATGGTTTGGAAATTTAAATTGTGTTAATAAAGACTATTATATGTGTTTCCAGTTACCAAAACCTCCTCAGCATCAGTCTTGCAATATGAATGGAGGAAGAGAACAGGATCTTGACTGTAAGGTTCTGTTATGTGAAAATTAACCAACAAATTTATTTTTCCAAAAAATCAGTTAATATTCTTAGTAAAGCAGGGATAATAAATATGCATTCAGACCTTTAAATTTTTAGTCAAATGATTTGTTAGCCCTTAAAAGTAATCTTAGTCTCTTTTCAAACATTGAAAAGTAAAGTTTTATTTATTGTTTTATTAAAATTATGTATATTGAAATGAACCATAAAATGTGGAATAAATAAAAATAGTTCATATCATAACTTTTATTTCCTCTGTAAATCCCTACATTACCAGTTGTCACGTTTTAATCCTAATATAACATGGCTAAAAAGAATTTACTCCTTTCCAGGCTTAAACATTCTATAACGATTAACTCATTTAACCTTTACCATAAACTTATAAGGCAAGTAGAATTATTATTTCTATTTTTCATACGAGCCCTTTAAGCAATTAGCCCAAGGCTTATTAATTCAACTAATATCTGTGGAAGCTACTATGTAACTGGCACCATAATAGGTTCTGTGGGAATGGTAGTTATGCTGGGAAAGTTGTGAAGCTTCGTTGTGACTCTCATTAAGTTGAAATCCATTTACTTAGACCAGAAATTCTTGAATAGGACATACTGTCTGCAAGTTACTTAATGAGGGTTCAATTCTCAAAACTTCATCAAGAAATTTGCAATTATTTTTTCTGGGAAGCCTGTCCTTCTTCCCCAGGTCAGACAGCAGTTCCATGTGTTGTCAACAGGTTACTGGGCAAATTCTCCCCTTTTCAGGTTTTTTTTTCTACTTTTCTAATGGAGATAGTATAGGCAGTCTGGATTCTAGGTGTTACACATATTGTCTATTGAATTATATATAAATATATGATGGGTCATTTGATGGCAAAGAAGTGTAATATCGTGATTGGACGAATATGCATTAACTTGTACATTAATTTGGTGAATCGAAGATGGAGTCTACATCACTAGGATCACTAGGTTTAAAGTTACAGTGGGCTTTTTCAAACTAAAACTGTTCCTTGCATTCCCATCCACTAGATTTAACATGTGAGAACTTCCATAATTCTTGTTTTCTTTTTGGCTCTAATCCTCTCCTCAGGGTTTGCTTTCATGGTGGGTATCCTATAATGGAGAACTAACTACTTATGGCACCAGGACAAAAGTCACTGGATGAAAGGGATATCTATACTGAGAGCCCAGCGTTCAAGTTCCACAGTAGGAATGATGATGTTATAGGACCCAATTCACAAGACATCTTGATTAAGTTTTCCCCACCAAACAGGGCTTGGGTTATTACAGTTAGCGTTTATTTTAAGCCTCTTTTTCTCTGCTTTAACAGACAACTAACCTATTTCCATCCATCCAAGTGAAAACTTTATTCATTTCATCGCATTTGTATTTTTAATCAGATATATTCAAATCTTGTAAATCTGAGAATATTCTTAAGGTGACTTTAGATAACTGCTCAGATTGCTCAGATGATAACCAAGTATGTTACCTCAGAGAGAATGATCTTATTTCTTTCATGATGATATTTTGAAAAAAATTTACAGAGTCCCTAGTAATGAAAACATTGTTGACTTGAAATGCTCATTAGCAAATCAAACCAATAGCTGGAATTTTGGTCTTCATATTGATTCTTCTGGATATTATGTTACCTTTAAGAAAAGTTATATTATATTTTCCACTTGGTTTAGGAAAATCTATATGGAAAGTAAATGGGGTGAATAGTCATGAAATACAGCTTTAATACACTTAATTCCCTAAACAAGTTAAGGTAACCAGAGTGACACAATAATATCAAAGGGAACTTGCAGTTCTCATTTTGGGTAAAGGTTTTTGTTTTGATGATACATATTTTATTATTAAGTAAGGTACTTAAGATAGGATTTTTTGTATTTTATTAGATTTTTATTGCATTTAAAAAATTTTTAAATGCTTGAAATGTATGATGTATCTAAAAATTGACCAGTCAGGCTTTTGATTGACAGCTGAACATCAATAATTTGTTAAATTGCCCATAGCATTAATATAGGGCAAGTCATCGGAGTTTTATGGCTTTATATTAAACAGTTGAATAATGAGTTGAATTTATAGTCTATTTTAAATAATCAGGAAGCTTTTGAGTTTTATGGGTTTACATAACAATTGGCTAAATATTTATCTCACAAGATTATTCCTATTTCATATCAGAATACATTGTTATTAACCTGCTCTTTACCGTGCTTGTAAAATCATTATATAACATAGGATGGCTAAAAATCAATAATGCTACTGCAGCTAATTCATTTGTTAGGTGTTTTTGCTATCCTATAAGCATGTGATTCTCTTGGAGAAACTATAATTATTGATACTTACATATTTGACCACAGAAAAATAAGATATAATCTAAGCTGAAATTTATTTTAAACTCTTCTCTTGAATGGGGTTTATTCAAGATATTCAGTTATATCATGACTGATATAACTTCTTAAGATGGCTCCATATATGATGGGAACCACAGAGGGATCTGCGCCTTCACTGCACGGCCAGAGCCAAATGGCCTAACCAAGTGCTCTGGTGTCCTGTTCTAAAAATCAGGGTAGGTCCTCGCAGACACAAAGTATATGCACAGAAGTCATTCTAGATTCTTTAATTGTTTGTGATTAAAAAACAGAATCAAAAGGATTACAACCATAAGGGAGCCAGGGTCTCTAAATTCCCATAATTGTTCATTCCATATTTAAGTGATTCTAAGTAATTCCATATAAAAACAAGTACTTGTATTTTTAAAATATTTTATAATATAATTTAAATTTAATTGTATTGTTTAAATATTTTGTAGAGAAATTCCCTGCATTCTATTCTTCTAGAAGATACCTTTAATAACTTACCCTCTTGAGTTGGAAAGCAAAACCTATCAAGGACAGAAGAGAGCTGAAAATTGGTTTTAGTGGATAGCAAAGATGTAGTAGTGGCATAGTGTAGAAAATGTTATGTCAGAATAAGCACTGACTGTACTTCACAATCCAATTCAAAAACATCTTACATTTTGGCATTTATACTGTAATGAAGAATTGGCAAAACCTTTCTCATTCCTTCAGAAGAACTAGAAGTATACGAAAGTAGACTAGGAGACACATATGACAATGTGTACAAAATTAACCACAGAACTACAAAGAGACAAAAATATTAAAAAAAGATCATGTACCAATGGAGATCTAGAGGTCTAATCTGAAGAGGCTTGTGTGAGTAAAATATATATTTAAAATACTGACTTTAAAAATTTTTATGCTAATGTAGTCTACTAAGAATATTTGTTTTAGAAATTTCTGAATATTTTTATATTTAGTGCAGAGAGAAATCAATATTCTGGAGAATAAACATGATTTCTGAGGCTTGTGTGTTCACTGGCAATCATCCTGTACCCTAGTTTTAGAATCACAGACTTGGCATTTACCACAGATGCCTGTCAACTCAAAGATATCTCCTGAACAGGCTGTCATTTAATTGTAGTTCCCCTTTGCTCTCTGAAGGGAATTATGAATAACTAACATTAGAAGAAGTGCCTACTTTATAAAAAAGAATAGTTTCCACCCCAACTTACTCATAACCCACCAGTGATATGCAGCGTAAGAAGTATGGTTTTTAAAGTTAGAAATTTGTGTACTCTAATCACATTTCTAGCACTACTGTGTTTGATCTTGGGAAAATCTTTCACCTAGTTTTAGTCTCCATTTCTTAATTCTTTAATCTTTATAAGGATAGCAATGCCTAGTTCATCATGTACAGTTACAGGGTATAACTGAGTACAGGTAAGATAGTGTACACAGAGTAAAATATACATTTATTCATCCAGCAAAAATCGACTATATGCATAGACTCTGTGCTAGCCACACTGATAATCACAGAAGACAGAGCTATAAACAGACATGGCCCCTGGCTTTCTAGAGCTCAGAGTATAGGAGGCAGAAACAGAACAAAAAAGAGTAAACTTAAAAAGAAAAAAGGCAATTTCATATGCTGATAAGTTTTTTAAAAAAGAAGAAAATAGTATCAGATATGTGTTGTACTGACACCGGCTCACTTGACACAGCTAGTAAAAGCTGTTTCTTTGTATTTCTCCCCAACTCTACACTAGTGACATCATGTTGGGAGGTTGGCCACTGTGTTGGGGTATTTACACCAAGGAAATCATTAAGGGTCATAAATCAGCCTTTCTCCTCCCTTTGTTCCCGCGAGCTTGTTCTTATACATTTCTTAGCACGCTGCTGGGTGCAGAAGTAACAGGAATGTGTAAGAATAATTAATAGAATGGCCAAAGCTCCCTGAGGAGAGACCATTGATTTGAGGACTTAAGATAAAAAGAAGCCAACCCTTGCAGAGATTCAAGGGCAGAACATTTTAGACAAAGAGAACAGCAAGTACAACAGCTCTATGGCTTGAGTGCTCAAGGAACAGCTGTATAAAAAAAGATAATGTATGATGGTGCTTGTACCTGAAAAGATACTAAATTGGTCGGTAATGTAAAGAATGACCAAGGTTGTGAGCTTCTATGTGTTCAAAATGTGACATTAATTTCCAAAACCAACTTATGATCAGGACAATCCAGGATCTCAGAAATTCTATTAGCTTATGTAAGATATGTTAACATCAAGTTACAACTTTCTGCCAGGTCTTTACAACAAATTCATTAGATAAGTAAAGAAAAGGTATCTTTGTTGCTTGACAACTGCTGCTAGTTAATGGAGAACATGGTTTGGAATCTTGTAAGGACTAGACTCAAGGCCTACACCCAGTTTCTGGTTGGTGTTTCAATGAGAAATTTGGAGAGGAGAGAGTAAAAGAGAAAAGACAGGTGTGCCAAAAATGCTTAGGCAGGCTTAGGGGAGGCAGAGGAGAGAGAAGCAATTGGACTTAAGCTTCCAGAGGAAAACCACGAAGATCAGGAGGCTGGAGAAAGTGGCTGCCAAAGAGGAAGGGCGCAACAGGGATGACGGGACTGAAGACGAACTTTGCTTACATTGCCAATAGGGGATGTTGACCCCAGTCTTTGAGGTCCTTTTATACTGGTTTAAGCTTTTAAACACTATCTCTGGGCCTGAAATTTAGGTATAAATTTTGAAGAGTTACCTTCCATATCCACTTGTAAAATATCCTGGCCATTTATGTAATAACCATTCTAATTAGATACTGTGTCTCACCAATTTTAATACTTAAAAACTTAAAAATACTCATCCTACTAAAGTAAATTTTTCTTCACATGTTGATACAAATAATTTGCCACCATTTTTCTAGTTTTTCTACTTTTTAAAAACTATTTTTCTTGTTGCATGTGTGAGTGACTTTATTAATTATACTTTAGTGACTTTTTCATTACTAAATGATACATATAGGACCTGGTTTTAAGGTTTACTATTCCATCTTATCCACAATTGATAGGAAGAAGTGCTCAAGTGTTAAGGGATACTTTGTATCACAACAATATGGATTTCTATTGATATTTCTCAGTATAGTAAAGGGGTAATTGTGCAACAAAATTTCTCAATGAAGGTCTTGAGAATGCAGAGACAACAGAAATAATGGCTCCATTTTTATAACCAAATCATACTTCTAAATTAGGCTTTGTTATTGCAGTAAGTAGCATCATATTCAAATAATTCTCTTCTCAATTATTTGCATTTTTAAATTGAGGAAACAAATTAATAAGAATATTCCAAACAAATTGGAGGGTTGGAAGGCAAAGGAAATACAACCTCTGGCACCTGTTGCTTAAGTGTTATTTAAATATATTTCCTTTTTAAAGTAAGATATCAGTTTCAGGTGTGAGAAAAATAAAATCTAGCTCCCACCTGCTCTTGGAGGGAAAGATGGGGCTCAGGATGAGGGTCCACATGTGAGGCTGAGAAAAGGGCAGTAAAGGTCAGTTGTACTGGAAGTAAACTACACCTAGTGAGCATTCCCAGGGTCTCACTGCACTTGAGAATGAGTTAGAACTTTTCTCTGTGCAGAATTATTGAGCATGACAGGTTTTTCTGTTGATAGTTAGGGGAGACATTTGCTCATACCTGAAATGAAGGTCTTTAAAGGAGAATTGCGTTTCAATGATTCCAGTTGTTTTTACTCGAGAATGTAGAACATCCTGCTCATTTGGGACGTACTCAGGAGCTGTTATTCTGTCCAAATCGTTAAGATAGCTAATAAAAAAAATAAAATAACACATATATTTTTAACCTTGCATTTGAAGATACTAGGATATAGTACAAGTGATTTTTTTTGTTTAGGGTCTATTAAGACTATTAAACTCCAGACTGGTAATTTTCAAACTCCGCTCATCACAATTACAAGAGCTTTTGGGGAGGGATGTTGCAGAGCACTGAGTGTGGTTCACAGCTGACCCATGGGAGTGGGGGCCCCGTTTAAAAGAAATGCCTTAGCTTGTATTTTATGAGGCATATATGGTATATTTGATGGTGTAATCATAGACACTTGAGAGAAAAGTTCTTTTTATTAGACTTACATCATCCAAATGATGTCATGGTTATCGCAGTCTAATGATCACTAGATTAATCTCAAAATGTTATAGTTTGTATTTGGGCACTTTGAATTTTAAGAAATAAAACTTTAACTTTCTTGCTGGTTCACACTGGAACTAATTCATGAAATTGCTCATCCACCCCCTAGCCAGCATTCTTGGGGATAGAAAACTGATCCTACACCTTGTACCCACTCGTGACTCTTCTACTCTTCCATCAGTGCATCAGTCTGTCCCACTCTTCCCTGGAGGCCAAATTTAAAAACCCTACTGTTACCAGGCTGAATACTGTCCTCTTTCTGCTTACAGGACCTAGGAGTGAGGAGAGACAGGAAGAGGTCTGATTAAGCTGGGTGCTCTATGAGAAGAGTCTATTAGATTAGAGGAAAGAAACAGCTTTTAACTTCATCCTTGAAACCAGGTAATGTTTATAGACTAAAATAAATGTTTTATTGCTTTAAAAACAGTTAAAAACTACTGCTCTAGACTTTTGATACAAAGGCTTTAGTAGCTTAGCAATATGGCTATTTCTGGGGAAATGTTACATAGATATAGTAATAGACTGGTAAGGCTTTTAATGACCAAATTTGCCATTATATCGAACTAAGTTTACACATGTGGCTTAAATAGAAAGATGATTATGGGCTTACATCCCTATAGACAGAATTTGAGAGGTAGAATCCAACCAAATATTATTATTTAAATTTGAATTTTTCAGAGACTAAGTTGAATAGTTGTTTATTCCTTAGCACCTAACATAATGCCTCAAAAAAGCAAAGCTGCTTTATTATTTATTAAAAAAATAAGTTCAACAGCAACATAGATAATTTATTCTTAAAGGATCTTTCTTCTTTTAAGCTAAAATAAACTTAGAATGGGTAAGTACCCCAAATGAATTTTGGCCAAGGACAAAACTACAGTCACACTTCAGAAACACATATGTATATAATACAAAAATTTATCACAATGTTTTAGTCTAATAAAATTGTATTTTCTTAAAAAAAGAAAAAGATATATCATAAGACAATATTGAAATATTTTTCTAGCTCATCTATTTTCTATCTTGTTAATGAAATTCCTTTGGATGAAGTCTACATAGGTGGTAGGTATACTGTTGGTTAACTGGTTCATGCAGGGGCAAAAACAAAATGAAAACATACTTGCCATGGTAGATATTAAATTCATTTTAATAGTAGCCAAATGAATGTTTTGGTAAAGAAAGACACATTTTAATGTATTTTATTTGCATATATAAATAATTTCAAGCAAAGCAGAAGTGTTGGCAGAATGACATATTTGCATTTAAAATATTTGTTTTTATAAACAAATACAGGATTTGGGTGCTCAAGGCTGTGGACTCAAACCAAATCAGATGGTCTAAGTATGTGTGTGTGTGTGTGTGTGTGTGTGTGTGTGTGTGTGTAATTTCAAATCACTTAAAATATCTGATTCTTTTTCTATTCATATAAAACACTATTTTTCCTGTCAAGTCTGTGTTAAATCTGAAAGCATATGGAATTTCAATAGCATACTGGACAGCCCCAGTGAGTAAACCACCAAATATTAATTAAATTCCTTCCCCTGTTTGCCATGGGTCATGACTCGTTTCCTTCAGTTTGGTAGTAACTATGGTATGGGAGGTGTTTATGTTGCCAACAAGATCATTTTTTCTTATACTGCTTAGTACTTCATTTCTGTTAGCTTCAACAGGAAAGGTCTCTTTGTTTGCAAGATGAACAAATATCTCACTTTCACCAAAAAATAAAAATGACAGAAAGCAGAAGAAAGGAAGAAAAGAGAAAATAGGAGGAAAAGGAAGAAGAGAAGGAGAAGGGATAGAGAGGAAAAGAGAGGAAAGAAAGAAAAGAGGCCATTGCTTTATATAATTCTTGTGAAATAGACATGGATTGGTATCGACCTAATATTATATTTTCTAGTTTTAAAATGTAAATGTTACTCAGTACTCAGAGAAAATCTGCTGTTAATTTTTGAAGAAAAAATTAGCCATTCAACTATTTTTTTCTTAACAAGCTTTTACTTAATATTTCCTTTTAAGGATCTATAAAAATGAAAAAGTTAACATTTAATGTTTTTGATTTTATGTGAAATCTTTTCTTTTTTAGACATGGCTGGGGGTAGTAGTGGGGAAAATCAACTTTACTGGTGTTATTCTACTGCCCTGAAAATAAATATGGATATTAAAAATCATTACATTAACAGGAACATTCACAAGATGGGTGCAAAGAGATATTGTGTCCACATGTTTAACTTGAACAGATAAGTTGCTCTTAATATGAATCTATATGATAGTCCCAGTATAAAATATATTTTGTGTCCAAATAAAAGAATTAAAACTGAATATTAAAGGTTTAGAAAATACAATAAAATGTCATTTTATCTGCCCATTTTGACTACATTATGTAATTTTGTTTTGCTATCAAAGAGCAAAGTGTTGGGCAACCATATAATAGTATAACTGTAAATATGTTTTTATAGTATTTTAAGAGAAAATCATGTTTAATCAATAATGTGTATCTAAAACCAATTACAGCTATCTATCATCTATCTAATTTATATAATACTTTTCTCTTTCCAGAAATTTGCTAATCGACTTTTTATGAAAATATTACATATTTCAATTTCTTATTGTGACTGCTTTTATCAATGATTCATATAGAAAAGCAATGTTTTCTGTATTTCAGAGAATCCTCTTAGTATTAGAATGTGACTAGGTACTGAGATACTTATAAAAAGTTTTTTAAGTTTATATAATGACAGGATGATATTCATTCTCTGCTTCGTCACTGAGACAACAGCTGGTCAATGGTGATGTGCCCTTTGGATTTGGAACTTAAAATGAATGTGAAAGAGTAATCACAAAAGACTGTAATCTTTTCCTAAAATTTATATGGTTTGTTTTCTCTCCATAATCCTTCTTCTCATTATGATTAAAAATATGAAGTATCATGAAAGCTTTATTGTTTTGTCCTCAAGTAATCATTTTTTTTCACTTTCACATTATTATTTTCTTTTAAGGGCTGATGGAGTGTTCTGTTGTGTTGGGAATTCATTAAGAGGACTCTATACCTTTTTACATATTCATAAGCAAAACAAAAATATAGAATTAATAATTAACTGATATTTACATGTACATACATATATACACATATTGTAGCAATATGACAATGGGATAAGAACCATTTACTAAAATAGAAACAAAATTGATAGTGAAATTATAAATAATATCATTTCATAATTTGCTTTTGGCTAATAACTGCTATCTGGATGATAGGTATGGAAATTATATAATCTTTCTTGAGACTCAAAAAGAATTTTAAAATGTTCAAATGTTGTGAATATCAATATCTGACTTGTAGAACTCTGTATTATGCTTCTCGAATCAAAGGAAACCCAAAGTATGTGCCAGTAATAAGATTACTCTAGAACATGACTTTAGTAACATGGATAGAGATGAAACAAACAGCCCCAAACTTACTGTGCATGTCACCAATCTGCATTTATGTTGAGCACGATGCAAGTGATTGATTCTTCTCAATTCAGAGAACATATTTAAAACACATAGATCTCAGGAAAATAGTTTCAAAATTAGTTATTTAAAGTGCTGTCCTGGTTATATTTTTTTACCTCTCATTTTGATATTTTTTGTTTCTCCTGAATTACATTTATTTTAGTATAATACAATGTAAAGCTATTTACTTACCTCACTTGTGACTGTAAATGCAGAATATACAGTTGTAATTCTTAATTTGAAATATTTTAACTACCACTTCCATCACAATATGTTCACTTACTAAGCTGCCGAGTCATTGAGCTGATATTCAGATGACCTCTCAAAGCAGGCCTGGACTCCCGGATCTCTCCACAGCCGTTTTATCACCTCAGCTAGCTCAGGCGTCATTCCACCATCTTCCAGGCTGTGTGCTGTTGCACAAAGTTGTCGCTGGTCTTCCTATGGCAATGTTTTTATGAAAAGAACAAAAGTGTTTTGTTATTTTAAATAACATTCTTTTTTTTAAGAGCATTTCAATAGGATGATTTTATATTATTTCTTTAGGTAATAATTCTATTGAACATCTATTCAATATATCTTAAGGTTAATAAAACTAAAGTTCCTAATGATCATTGGCTGATACTCAGAAGATTTCTCCATTGCAAAAACTAATATATTTAAATGTTATAATTTTAAAAAATAGGATATTTTGATAGAGATAATTAACTTTTGAATATGATGTGAAAAGGGATAATAATACTGTAGTGTAAGTCCATTGAGATCTCAGTTTCTCAAAATGTTCTAAAAGGATAATGGATGTGATCTAAATTGTTTTTTCTTTTATCTTAGCCATTGTTTTCCTAGGAAATGAAAATACAATGTAAAATTTAGAACAAAAATGGAAAATAAAACTCTAAAATTACATTTAAAATTAATATATAATATTATTTGCCTTCATGTCCTTATTTAGATTAACCATATAAATGATTAATGGTAAACACTTTGATCCACTCAAAGTTTTGAACATCTATGTGGTGTTGTTAATTGCATGCCCTTGGGGCAAGTTAATAGGGCAGGGGTCAGACTTCATGAAAAAAAAAGAGAAGGGCATTTGGGAAAACATGGATAAACCTTGAGAATATTATGCTAAGTGAAACAAATCAGTCAGAAAAGGCTAAGAACCATGTAATTTCACTTATATGTGGAATATAAAACTGAAACTCACAGACAGACAACAGTATGGTGGTTACCACAGAGAAGGGGGTGGGAGGGTAGTAGAAGAAAAAGGAGACCAAATATATGGCGACAGGATGATTTGACTTAGGGTGGTGGGCACACAATGGAATATACAGATCATGTATCGTAGAAATGTACATTTGAAATCTATGTGACCCTATTAACCAATGTTACCTCAAGAAATTTAATAAAATTGAAAAGAAAAGAAAGCATGCCCTGTGTTAGCCTTGATGAGATTTGGAGCTGACAAGAGCAGAAAGAAATAAAAGTACACTAAGTAAATAATGTGGTCCACAGTTTATCTAAACTAGTTATCAAATTTGTTTTGTGAGAAAAAATTTTTTAAGGATGATGAGAATTTGAGTTTCAAAATAATTGCTGACCATTATAGACCAGGCAAAAGAAGAAAAAGGGGGTCAGATTCTGGTTGTCAGACTCCGAATTTTATACTCTTTCCTACACACGTTATTATATTCTCAAGAAAGTTACCACATGAAATGTCTTACACAAATATCACAACAGTTATACAGACACTCTTTTTTCCCCCATTTTACAAATGAGGACTCAAAAGTTAGGTGGTTAATTTGATAAATCAGTAAAGACAATAAGCATCAGAAAAAGAGTCAAACCCAGATATATTTTGTGCAATGTCAGGAGTATGTCCAATAAAAATTTGCTGGTTTTCTGATGCATTTTAATTTATTATAATTTTAAATTGATTGCAAGTTTATTTCACTGCTTTATTAAAAACCTACTCTTTACATGAAAAAAAACTAAAGGTATCTTTCCTAACATTAGAAAGAGGCTCTATTAAATCTAAAAATCTTATTTTTATCTTTCTTCACATTGATATTTTATTACCAAACCAAACTGATTAAGTGACGATTAAATCAACAATTTCAAATGGCCCAAATCAGAGACTTGACCTCATTTTCTTGCATCAGGACAGGGTAAAATGTAAATGCTTCTTCCTGATTAGTTTAATCAGAAAGAGAACTGCAAAGCCAGCAAAATATGATCCAGGCACTTTTTCTGGCATCATCTTATGTACCTCTTTCCACTATGAAAATGTCATTTAGGAGAAATGATGCAATGGAAGTTGCTCAAACAACTTTGTCCTTACAGGGAAAAACTTACATACCCAGTTAGCACACCTTTACAAACCAAGATAATAAACCCCTTTGTTTCTCTTTTGAAATTTCCACTTTTAATTTAAATATAATTTGTTTGTATAGATATCATGAACATAGTCTCACTTAAACATTTAAATGTCTGAAAATCCTCTTTGATGACCACATAAATCCTAGAACCTTCCCCAAGAGCAAGAAATTTGATTAATGTGTCTTTCTAGATTTTTGTTTTTTACGTTATTGAATTCATAGCAGAAGTTGATGTCACTGATTTAAGCCTATGGGGCACTTCTTAAAAATACTGATACCTGGGACTCAAATCAAGGGAGTGGACCAGAAGGAAGAAAAAAAATGACCAAACAGAAAAAAATGTAGAAACAAGAATTCAAAAAATGAGGAGAGGCTTAGGAACCTCCAGGACATCTTTAAACGCTCCAACATCTGAATTATAGGGGTATCAGAAGGGAAAGAAGAAGAGCCATGAGTGGAAAACTTATTTGAATGAATAATAAAGGAGAATTTTCCCAATCTGGCAAAGGAAATAGACTTCTAGGAAATCCAGGAAGCTCAGAGAGTCCCAAAGAAGTTGGACCCAAGGAGGAACACACCAAGGCACATCATCATTACATTAGCCAAGATTAAAATGAAGGAGAGAATCCTAGAAGCAGCAAGAGATAAGGGGATAGTCACCTACAAAGGAGTTCCCATCAGTCTGTCAGCAGATTTCTCAAAAGAGATCTTACAGGCAAGAAGGGGCTGGAAAGAAGTATTCCAAGTCAAAAGACCTACATCCAAGATTGCTCTATCCAGCAAAGCTTTCATTTAGAATGGAAGGGCAGATAAAGTGCTTCTCAGATAAGGTCAAGTTCAAGGAGTTCATCATCACCAAGCCCTTATTATATGAAATGTTAAAGGGACTTATCTAAGAGAAAGAAGATAAAAATATGAACAGGACAATGACAGCAAACTCACAGTTATTAAGAACCACACCTAAAACAAAAACAAATTAAGAGGACAGCTAGATCAGGAGCAGAACCATAGAAATGAAGATCACATGGAGGGTTAGCAACAGGGGAGTGGGAGAAGGAGAAGGGGGGAGAAGGTACAGAAAATAAGTAGCATAGACGGTAGGTAGAAAATAGATAAGGGGGAGGGCAAGAATAATATGGGAAATACAGAATCTAAAGAACTTGTGACACATGGACATAAACAAAAGTGGGGGGAATGGTGGGGGGGGGGGTGTGCAGGGTGGAGGGGAATGAAGGGGGGGGAATAGGACCACTGTAATGGCATAATCAATAAAAGCATAATCAATAAAATATATTTAAAAATAGTTAAGGAAAAAAAATACTGATACTAGGACCTTTACCCAAACAAAATGAGTCAGAATTTCTGGCTGTCAGTTTCTGAAAAAATATTTTTTAAAAATCTCTCCAGCAACACAACATGCAGCCTGAGTTGGGAATCCCTGGACATGTACAGTTAAAAAAAATAAGAAATTTCTTATTAGACATACTACATTTCTATTGTTGAAGTTGTTCTCCAATTATTTAAAGTGCTGACACAGTAATTTACAGCAGGGGTCCCCAGTCTCCAGGTGCATGGGCCGTGGACCAGTACCAGTCTGTGGCCTGTTAGGAACTGGGCTGCACAGCGGGAGGTGAACAGCAGGTGAGCAAGCAAAGCTTCATCTCTATTTACAGCCACTCCCCATCTCTGACATTACCACCCGGGCTCTGCATGCTGTCAGATCTGTGATGCATTAGATTCTCACAGGAGCTGGCACCCTACTGTGAACTGCGCATGTGGGGAATCTAGGTTGCGCAGTCCCTTATGAGAATCCAATGCCTGATGATCTGAGGTGGAGCTGAGGCAGTGATGTTACTAGCAGCACAGAGGAGCGGCTGCCAATACAGATCATCATTAGCAGAGAGGTTTGACTGCATGGAGACAATAACGAATCAACCGCTTTCAAACTCATATCAAAACCCTACCAGCGAGGGGCAAGTGACAATTAAGCTACATCTGGTGGCAGGCTATAAAGCCATTTCCTCCTCTTTGCAGTCTGTGGAAAAATTGTCTTCCATGAAACCAGTCTCTGGTGCCAAAAAGGTTGGAAACCTCTGATTTAAAGAATCGAAATTCATGTGTTTAAAGGATAGGGTCCACCAAACAAATTTGAATTTTTTAAATATGTAACACCAAAATTAACAGAAGTTGTATTGTACATAACAGCCAAATTGATTAAAAACTGAACTCCTACTGCTTATCTTACTGACATATTTTAAAAACAGTAGTACTTTCCCATCAAACTCAAAATAAAAACCAAATCCATTAGCATTGCTCACAAGGCTCTACATGTTTTGACCCATGTCTTTCCTTTCATCATTATTTCTTTATTATCCCTCCTTCCCTCTCTCTGTGTGTCTCTGTCTCTCTCTCCTTCTCTATCCCCTCTCTTCCTTTCCCCATTCCTGGATTCCTTATTGTTCCTTGAACTCACCAGCCCCAATTTCAGAGCTCCTTTCCTCTCCTCCTTGGTGCTCATTTCCTCCTTCATTCAGGTGTCTTCCCAAACGCCGATCCCTTAAGGATGCCTTCCAGGGCGTCCCTTTCTTCCATTCTTTCATTACTTTCTAGCCTTCATTACCTCACACTCCTTGATTTTTCATAGTACTTATTAATGCTGATGTAGTACATATTTCTTTATTTTTTATTTTAACAGTTTTTATTTTTTATTCTTTTATTTTTATTTCTTGGCTAAGCTCATTAAAAAAATCTTATTTATCCTATTACAGTTGTCCCAATATTTACCCCCATGTGCCTCTGTGCCCCCACCCCACCCCTACAGTCCATCCCCATCCTGTTGCGCATGTGCAGGGGTCATTCACACATGTCCTTTGACTGATCCCTTTCTTTTCTTTCCACCATTCCCCTCCTTCCTCCTCCTGTCTGGCAGCTGTCAGTCTTGTTCTATGTTTTCATTATAAGGTCATTATAGAGGAAATGCTTTAAAAAACAAACAAATAAAATTGTAGCTTTTACATTAGGCTGTCAGCACTTGAAGACAGAGATTTTGTGATTTTGTTCATT